TTTCTGCTCTCGCACACCGAACTGAAGACCCCTGTGAATAGGACTTTCTTAACAGTGACCGGTAATGCAATTTCGGTGAGATATCGCCGTCGAGCCACCCATCCCCGGTCATATTCCGGTGCTTCAGACCTCAATGCATCCGTCGAATAAGCACATTGTCTGCGGGGGCGTTAGGTGTAGCTGGAATTCTCTAAACTGTTCTGATTTCTCGTAATTGGACTTTTATCGTTTCACGAAATCATTTCCTTAGATTAACATTTTAATCCCTTCCCGCAGATGGAAACATGGGTTAATGACATTCTGCATTATTTACTCCGCTCTTTGTCCCATCTGTTTGTGTCTGTGCTCGACAGAGTCGCCTAGTCGGTCGCATGCTCCATCAGAATCCTACTCAGAGACCAAGCGCGGTTGAACTGCTTCGGTTCCTGGCATTCACTTCGGAGGTAAGTTAGTCAATCCACCAATAAATCGGAAGCAAGTCCAATTTTATACTCTGTTTTTAGCATGTTTTTGTGTTATGAGTGGTTAAATTATGTCAATTGAAGTCGTTTGTAACTTCATCCACCTCTCTTTAGTCCTGGTCTAGGTCTGCGAATTTGTCCCCGGTTTGAAATCTTTATGGTTAAGCTTTTGTACTTTTCCCACGTTTATTTGAGGGAGAGGGTGGGGAAGGAGCCATTTACATGGTTCAGCGGTCTGTAATTACTGGCAGTTATTTCAGGCACTAGTGTGCGTATATCGATCGCAACCTTATAACATTAAAATTAAGTTGTCTTCCATAAAGAAATTGAAAAGAGAAATGTCTTTTTACTTCCTTTTTGTTATTTATTGAATATACAAATGAACAGTCAACATTCAGGAAGGGGGCTGCGGCCATACAAAGGCTGCCTGGGGAAAATGCAGAAATAGGGAAGACGGACGGCGGTGGAGCCGCTCGAACCCGGTACTTCCGGGTCATAAGTTGGTGACCTAACCACTTGGCCACCACCGCCAAGTTTATTTCTTAGTAATAGTTCATTTCTAAGTAATGAACCTTGCACAGATCCGTCTACCAGAAGACCACATGGAGTGGGCAATACTTAGAATTTGCCAGTTTCGCTCCTGTGGCTCACAGAAGAGGTCTGGTGAAGAGTCTGTTTCATCGCGCCAGGAATATATGCTCCCCTGGCACTGTCCAAGAAGAAGAGGCCTTTCTGCGAAGGACGCTACTGGATAACGGCCATCCAGGGAAATTTATTGATGTACATTGGTTGATCTCGTCTGCGAAGTACCGAAAAAGAGCGTCTTCCGTAGACTCGCCTTTGAAAGTGATCATATAATGAACGATGTGCTTCAAAAGCTCAAGGCGGCACTGTGTCGAACGTTTCCTGCTGCACAGCTTCGATTGATCCCGTTTACCCAAAGACAATCGAAAACAGAACCAGCCGAGCAATTCTGCTTCACATATCGTCTACCAGGTCATCTGCAGTTGCAGTGACACTTACATGGGTAGAGCGAACTGGCCCCTGCACAACGGATGTCTGAACACATCTCCAAGTGGTTGGTACAATCGGTGACGCAACAAAGTCTTAGAGGTCAAATCGATAAGAGAAATCCAGGTTCATCAATCGCAAAATACCTCATGGCAACGGGACTCATCGTTGACCCACAAATGTCGTTCAAGCCATTATTACGTAACTTGAACCCCAGAATTTTGGCATTTAGTGAGGCGATGCTAATCAAGTTACGTAACCCAATATTGTGTGCACACAAGTTTTTTACTCAATCAGTCAGACTGCCATGGACCTTATTTCCCGCACACCCTCTCCCCGCTTTCCTGACTATTGTCAGTTTTACCACTGTAGTTATCAAAACTTGCTTGTATGAATACCAGTTTGTTTTACCTTGTAGCGACTGGAGAGATTAAAAGAAATGTTAACATCTCGCAGTATTTGTCTTCTCTCGGTTCATTACTTAGAAACTACTCGCTCAACATCACGCTATTCATCTTTAGAGCAGTAACTATGTTTTGGCTCCTGAAACTTAGGTTGTTCAACCCAGCCAGTTGATCTTCTCTGTGTGTTCATGATCAAACTCCGACTCAGCGCACCATGACACGAAAACCGCGGCCTATTAGGGCGGTTGTTCACTTAGTCAAATATTAATCTTTGGAGACGTATTTCACGCGCTAGTGAACGTCGTAACCAGAATATCGTGAATTGTATTCTATTCTATTACGAACTTTTGCAGGCCTAAGATTCAATCAGAAACACCCATAACGCTGTTACACAGCAATACACACAAAAAACATAAACGCATACAAGAGAAAGAAATTATTCGTTCAACCTAGAAGCCTCATCCGCAACCCATGAGCCACTTTGTCGTTGTCAATAAGATACGCGCTACATGCGGAAGTGGGAAATTTTTAAAAGCCTCACAGAAACGAGTCGAAAACGTGACCTAGTTTAGGACGAGAACGATTAACGAATAAGTCGAAATAAAGAAGATACTAGTTTCTATGCCACCTGAAACAGAATTTTCTAGCTCCCCTAGACGAGCTAATCGCCCATGGCTCGTCAACTTAGATATTGGCTTTTCAGCCTTCCTTTTGATTGAAAAATATCCTCACCAAGAAAAGGTATGGCGCAAGACTTAACTAGTCGATGCGCTCAGAGACGAACTGCACGAGACTATTTCTTGACATGAGAATAAGGTCTTGTCTACCCTCTGGAGAAGGTAGATTATTTTAAAAGGGAGCGCTGTGTCCACACGATACACTACTCAACTCCCATCCCGGTGTAATCAGTCCCTTGTTATTGTCATTACGTTGCAGGTTCGCCCATTCAATTCACGTTGGATAATAAACTGCGTGAATCCAGTTTTGAGCGGTGGCTTCATCAATTCATTTGATACAGTCCCGCTACTTTTCGGAAACATAATCATCCTCTTCCATATTTTTCTAACCGTATTAGCCAGTAAATGGACTAACTGCAAACAAAATAGTGTTTTTGCTACGGATTTCGAAAGTTGATGGGATATCATCTCATCGTATTACAATTTCTGCAACTGTTAATACTCTCCATAGAGTTTACCGTTCCGTCTCTACTGTTCAGGACTAAAGGATGAGCGAAAACGTTTCGGATTACCCGGGCAATCGTCAATTGATCTTCATCATTGTTAATTCAAGTGATTGCTGCCAGAAACAATATGCTTCTATTGTTGGTAGAATGCACTCCATCATCTGTTTGTTGTCTACACCCAACCAGTCTGCGAGGCTTCATTCACAGCTTTATGCCGATCCTGAGGCTGCAACTTTCGGTCTTGCTGGTGTTGGCATGGCTCTCACTCATTGAGAAATAAAGCAGCGCTTGTGTATTGGTTCGCAACAGGTAATTGGTTGTTCGCGGTGCGACCCAGAGGTCCGTGCAAAATAAGTAGACGTCACCTCGATAGACGAAACTTGTTTGTCGTGTCGGCGTACGCTCGAACAGGCTGCCACCCAGATGCAACCAAACATGAATTGCACCAAAAAACCCATGACTTCTTCCGGAAAGCGAACCCACTGATACCCTGATTTCAGGAGTGGATATATATATATATATCATAGAATAATTCGGCTGTCTTCGAGTGATGCGCATCTGGAACGCCCTTTTGGGTTAGATTTCTGTTCTTCGCAAACCGGGGATCGGGCGTTAGTTCTACGTTCTGACCGTTGCCTTTTTTCGCCACAGCGAATTCAAGACGATTCAGTTGCGATACGTCATATGAGGTCCACCCTTGAGTCAGCGACTAACGCATATAGAATGCATCGCTGTATGCGATAAATGGCGGATCGCGTTCATAACTGCTGCTTCTACTGGAGCACCCCCACCCTCGAATCCGAACACGCGTTAGTCTGCCAAAGTTTGCAAAAAGATCTTTTCTGATTCGTCCAGGGATCTCACTTGAGCATTGAAGTCTCCGGTGGCTACTACGACGTCCGTTGATCGAGCACTTTGGAGTAGTTGAGAACGATCCTTGT